TGAGTGGTAAAATTCTTCATTGAGAGCCACTAAGACGTGGTTGTTTATGGAATTCTGTACCTCTATGTTGAATACCTTTGCTCTAAAGACAATTTCATCCGTCACCTAGAAACCGAACATTTTTGAACTAATGAATTTATTTAGATTTCATATGAGAACACTATTCTATACAAATAAATAAATATCTAGCTGAGACTGCATAAATAGCCAACAATATTATTTGAAACGAGACCGGCTTTGTCACTGGGATTATCAGGAATTGATATAGGTATGAGTATATTGGGAGGAACTCGTCCCATTAGACGAATCCGCACACTTCTGCAGGATTTCCTGCCTTATAATATTATCGCACGTACGAGTAAATCGTCAGCACTTATTATTTGTGGGGAAATGCTCTATTTGTACAGTATTTGCTGTGATATTATGAACAACCAGTATCGCGGTCGAGAAATTACTATGTGAAGAAGTGTACGGAGCGGATTATGCACAGGACATTGAGGCATTCAACGTTTTTTGCCAAATCTGCTCAAGACGTGGATCTTTCAGATTCGTCCATGCGTAAATGACCACTGCAGCCTCATTCAGCAGACCATTCCATGTCCACTTTCGAATAGCTCGTGAGAGAATGATACTGGCTGTAGCACCTTGCTTTACTTTGAAAAACATCGATCTCATGCCAGTTTCAATCGGTTCGAAGAAGGCGTAGAGGCGAACGGATGATGCGCAGTTGTTGTGGACCTAAAGAAAAGATTGAGAGGTTTCTCTTTACACTCAACAATTTTAGGCTTGGACTTTGATTCAAGAAGTGAACGCAGCGAAAACTGATCCTCGAATTGTTTTTCCTTTCATGTCATCCTTTTCGAAACTCAGGCTTTTTAAAATTGAAAATTGAGGAAGAATAATAATAACCACTCGTACTTAACCAAAAACATGATAAAATCATAAGTTTTATTTCTGAAAAAGGTAGGTGTAGGAGAAAAGAGAAAGGGAAGAATGCAGAGAGGATGAAGATAGAATGGCATAAGCGCACATATGTAAGAGCTGCAGTCATGCGAAGTTATTCTTTAGTTTGAAGTTCTCTTTTGAAGTTTGGATTGGAATCAGACAGACATGATGGGAAATGATTTCAAGAATCTTTTTCATTTTCAAAAGACTGTACACCA